AGTATTAGAAAAAACTAACTCATTCACATGTATTTAGTGGTGTGAGAACTCCCATCAAACCTATTAGTCTGCTTACTTAAGCTGTCCCCTGAAATTCAGAGCCTGGAGGTTGCAAGTTCTGCATCCTTTGTGTTTATGTTGCATCCAGATTTGTAGCGTTCAGACTGGGGAGGAATCACCCTAGAATGGTTTGGGTTGGAAGGGATGTTGAAGCTCATCCAGTTCCAACCCCTGCCATGGGCAGGGTCATCTTCCACTAGAGCAGCTTGCACCAAGCCCTGTCCAGCCAAGCCTTGCAAAACCCCATTATGCTCAGCTCCCTATGTATACATTAAATTATAACACAGTCTCTTCCCCACAGTCTTAGAATCTACTCTCGTATTTAGTACTTTCACACTATGAATTTCACTCAGGATGCTGGGATGAGGTTAAAGATGGCGCTAACCTCTGGCTCCTCCACGACATTTCTGTGGGGCTTTGTAACTCATTCCACAGTTAGCACAAAAACTTCTGGACATTGATTTCTATCAACCATAATGGCATGTAAGTCTGTAAATAGTTGTGGAGATGCAAGTCATAGCAGTATGTGGATGTGAGGTGTTGCCGTGGGCTTTGGGGTATCTCCCAAAGGCACTACCATGGCTGAGGGCCCCGTTGTCAGGATGAGGCCTTTAATGATTGCTGCTCTATGTTAACAGGCCATACCACATATAGCCCGGCTATTGTCAGCGCTGATCCTTGTCCAACTGACGGGCTATTCAAAGCGCTTCTCAAGCCTCTCCAAAATCCCAGCTTGTTCTACCCCGATGACAGCCATCCCTCCCATTCGGAGTTTTCTTTGTACGCTTGATAACATGGTGGAAATCCCTTATTATGCTTCTTTTAATAATGCTTTCACATGGCGAGGGGACATGATGTTTTAATTTATGCAGTACACATCACCCTTCGACAATTTGCTAAGAGCTGACCTAAGCCTGCGCCCAAGAACAGAACTTTATGCAAAACCAATGGTTTCCAACCTGTGGTCTCCAGACCGCTGGGAACCGGCGGGATCCTTCCGAGGGGTCACCATGAGGTAACCGGGAAAGCGGAGATGCTACCGGGAGATTAAAACACCTCAGTGCGGGGCTGAGCTCCCAAACTTCAAGCTGGAAATCACCATTTGAGTCGGTTTGGGTTTTTTTTGTGGTCTTATTTCTCCCCCCCCCCGCTCACCCCCCTGCAGCTCCCAGCGTCTTTAAATACCTGCCCCAGTCGATTCAAAGCAATACATTCAGAGGCAGAACCACACCACTCGTTATGAGTTAAGTTGTGCTGAGTAAAGTCTCATTTTCTTCTTCAAAAAAAAATAGTCATTAACCTTCAGATCCACTCGCTTCCCCCCCCCCCAAATTAATTTTGCAGTATTATCACGCATCTTGAGGCTTCCAGTTTAAGACTATAATGCTTGTGCTGTTAATGAAGCGGGTATCCACGATCAAGGGGAGCTGAGAGCTACAGACAATTGTTTGTTTGCCTTTATTTCTCACGCCCTTTGAAGGTTTTTTTTTCTTCTTTTTTTTTTTTTTATTTATTAAGTGACTTTAGCAGATTGTACCCTCGGAGCTGTGAATAATAGGGTTATTCTACAAAAAATGGCCAAGGCTAGTTAAGACACACAAAGCCAGGAAATCCTTTCAGGGATGAAATCAGGACTATTTTAGGGGTGCCGTGTCAGTTGGAGACTTTGCAGCAGCTCGGCTCCGGCTTGCTGCAGTGCTGCCAGGCACGGCCGAGCTGCTGCTGCTGCTGCTGCTGCTGCTGGGAGGAAAGTTCCTCCCCTGGCGAGGGACGGGGGGGTTGGGGGGGGAGGCTCCGCACCCGGGATGTGGGGGTGCAAAGAACGGGTTGGAGGGTGCAGAGCATGGGGGGGTGCCCCTGAAAAGCGGTGGGGCTGGTGGTGTTTGGTAGTGCCAGGGAACTTTGCCCGTGCAGCAAAGCGCTGATGGTGCAAGGCAAGGGGGTTCCCTGCGCCGGGGAGGGTTGGTATGCGGGGTGGGGAGGGAAAGATTGGAGGGAGGGTATTTGTGCAAGGGAAGGGTGTTATTCGTGCAGGGAAGGGAGTATCCGTGTTAAAAGGGGGGCTATGGGGGGTTGGTGTGTATCTGTGCAGGGAGATTACCCGTGCAAGGGGGGGGGGGGGGAAGTTACCCGTGTAGTATGGGGTTATCGGTGCGAAAGGGGGATTACCCGTGCAAGGCGGGGTACCCATGAAAGGTGAGGGGGGATGGTGTTAACCGTGCAGGACGGGGGTTATCCGTGCAAGGGAGAGGGTTAGGGGTGTATCCATGCAGAAGGGTTTTATCCTTGCAAAGGGGAGTATCCATGCAGGGGGGCTACCCGTGCAATAGGGCGGTATCCGTGCATGGAGGGGGTTACCCGTATAAGGGGGGTATCGACGCAAGGGGTTACCCGTGCAAAGGGGGGGTTACTCGTGCCAGGGGCGCTCGCTGCCCGCAGCACCCCCATCGCCCTCCCGCAGAGCAGAGCAGCCCTGCGGAGGACCCCACGGCTGGGAGAGGGGAAGGGGGGGGGGGGAGTGGTGTTGGCTGCAGGCCCGCAGCGGGGCCGCCCGTCCTTGGGAGGGGAGGCTATAGAGGGACAGGGGATGTCCGTGAGCCCCGCCACCCCCCGGTGCGGGTCTCCTATGCAAATTGCGGCGATTGCGGAAATGGGGGGGGGGGGAATGGAGAAGGAGGAGGAGGGGAAGGGGAGGAGGGACGCGGGTGGCTGCCGAATCGCTCGCAACTTCTGCAAAGTCCCGGGCTCCGGAGCCTGCCCGGCAGAGCGGGGACACGCAGCGACAGCGCCCGGGTAGCGCGACCCGGACCCGGGCCCTGCCGCCTGCAACCACCCCCCACCTCCCCCCGTTCCAACCCCGGCGCGGAGCCACCGGGATCAACACCCCGAACCCAAGGAAAAAAACCCAAAGCAAACAAGGCACCGAACGGCAGGCGGCAATTGGCTGCGGCGTTTATTCTCTTCCGGGTTCCCAACGGCCGCAAGTTTATTTTAGCTATTAAATTAAAAAAATAGAGACATAAAAACATAAAGTGCCAACGGCCGGGGCCGCGCCAAGTTTCTCGCGTTCTCCCTATGCGCGGGCACGGCCTTAAAACTCCTCTTTTAGGTTGTTTTGTGCGTTGTTTTTGTGGTTTTTAACCCAATTTCTATGGTTTTGCAGCGGGTAGCAAGCTATTGTCTGGGCAAGAGCTGCGTGGGGTCTGTGTGCGGAAGGAGCGCGGCCGCGGATGTTTGCACCGGGGTTACGTTTTGAGGGGGTTTTCCCTTCTTTTTTCTGTTTTGATAATTATTTTGTAAGGGATTTAAGGAAATCGCTGACTTTGACAGATATCCCCCCCCCCCCCGCCTCCGCTGGGCCGCCTGCTCCTGCGCGCCGGCTCCCAAACGCGCCGTCCGGAGCGCCAGCGGCCGCGCACAAAGAAACGCGGCTGGGCGCGGGGTGTGACGGACCGCGGCAGGGGCCAATCGGCGGGGCGGGGCCGTGTGACGTCGCCGGTCGCCGTCCAATCAGCGGCAGGGGTGGGTGTTGCGACGTTTGAACTCCCCCGGGGGGAGGGGCGCGTCTTTTTTTTTTTTTTTTCCCTTATTATTTAATTTTATTTTTTTTTTCGGGATTTTTTTTTTTTTGCCTTTTCCGCCGAAGTTGGAGCCGCGGAAACCTCCGGATTTAGCACCAAAAAAAAAAAAAAGATACCCACCGAAAAAAGGGGGTGGTAGGGCAGAAAAAAGATTAATTCCTATAGAAAAAGAATGAAAATTATTTATTATTGAAGGCGTCCTTAGCAAAACGCTGAGTTGCGATCAAATAAGAATATACCTTGCGCGCACAGCCCTATAGCGCTGCAGAGTACCGCGGGGGGGCGGGAAGGGGGGAGGGAGAAGGTGATTTCGCTCTGTTTAATTTTGGGGGGGGGGGTTGCGGTGTGCGTTGTCCGCGGCTGCGGAGGGGCTGCGCTTGACCGCGGGCCCTGCCTAGAGGGCGCAACCAGCCGTCCCGCGGCCAAAAGTCTCCCGAAGGGCGCCAAAAGTTACTCCAAGATAATGCTGCAAACCGCAAAAGGCTGGGAACGGCTGAGAACGGGGGGGACTGCGCGTGTGTGTGTGTGTGTGTGTGTGTGTTGGCTGCGCGCCCCTTCGCACCCGCGGAACCCCCCCCCCCCCGCCTTTTAAACGAGCTGTGTGTATTTCCCCCTCCGTGTCCTGCTATGGATGGGATTTTTCCCTATATGTGTGTCCTCCCCTCCGCGCATAACTACGCGCAGGGACGCGGAGGCCGCCTCAACTCCCTCCAGCATCAATGGGAAACGCTATTCCTAAGCTGGGGAAGGAGCGGGGACACCCACCCTAACGGGACACCCCTTCGAGTCCCCCTGAGCGGGCTGGAGAGCATCCAAACCCCAAACCCAAACGCTGCCGGTGCCAAGACAATGCGCTCGGGAAGTGGCAGGAGGCGCGGGTGGATTTTTAATGTTAAGCGCTTCACTTTTAAGGGATGATTTCATTAATTAAAAGGGGGGGGGGACGAGATTAATTTATGTGGGTGTTATTTAACGTATTATTTAATTTATCACTATTTCAAAGTGGAATAAGCACCCTTGACCATCAAGTGCTTGATTTAAAATGACAAGTGACAACGGGGATGGGGAAAGTTGTGAACGCAGCGCCGCTCCCCCCCCCACACTGCCAAGGGCCGAGCGGAGCCGCAGTAAAAGCAAAAAACCAAAAACAACCCCCAAAAAGCCCCAATAAATAATGATAACACCCACCCCCCCCCGAACCCCCTCCTCAAACCCGCGCAAACTTCGCTCCGGTCCCCTCCGTCCCCTCCGCGGCTGCCCGCGCTGCGGGGCGTTGGGGCGGAGGGAGGCGGATGCGCCGCAGCCCCCTCCCCGCCCCTCCCCGCCCCCCGCGGGCGGCGCGCAGCGCAGCGCTGAGCGGGGCGGCGCGGCGCAAGGGCAACGCAGAGCGGCGCGGAGAGGCGCGGAGCGGAGGAGGAGGAGGAGGAGGCCGCGGGGGAGCGTAGCGGGGGGCGCGCAAAGCGTGCGCTATGCCTTTAACGGCGCGCGGGGCAGGCATGCCGAGCGCGTAGTGCGGGAAAGTCGAGGCGGGGTTAAAGTTCAGCTCATGGAGCGGCTCCGCGCTGGCTGCAGTTTGGCAGAGTTGGAAATGTGAAAGCAAGAAGCAGGCTCGGGGCTCCCCCTCCTCTCTCCTCTCTCTCTCTCTCTCTCTCTCTCCTCTTTCCCCTCCTCTCTCTCCCTCTCCCTCTGTCTCTCCCCCTCTCTCTCTCCCTCTCTCCCGCACACGCACACCTCCAAACCGCAGCCCCCCGCAGCAGTCATGTATTCTCCGCTCTGTCTCACCCAGGTAAGCGGCTGCCGGGGCGCGGTGGGGCCGGCGCTGCGGGGTGCGGGTGTGCGGGACTGCGTGTGAGCGTGGTGCGGGGTGTGTGCGCGCCGGGAAAGGGGCAGAAACGCCGCTCGCCGAAACTAACTTTGTTGCCTTTCGCTTGCATCCCACCCCCCCCGCACCACCACCACCACCACCCCCCCCCTTCCCGCACGGCCATTTGTGGCTGCACATGGCTAATGGCGCCTACTTATTAATGGTTTAATTAATGGGGGGAGTTATATGCTGCGGGACGCCCCGCACGGCCCCGCCGTGCTTGGTCATCCGCGATCGATGCCGCCGCCCGCCGCCGCCGCCGCCGCCGCCCGCGCCCCTCACCGCGGCCCCGTGGCAGCGCTACCGGCCGCTGCGCCTTCCCGCAGCACGGCCCGGCCCGCACCGCCCGGACACCCCGCTCGGGGTTACGCGGGTGGGATTCCTCCGTGCTTCACGCGCACCCCCTTCCTTTCATTCCGCGGGCGCGCAGACGGCCCCGTTCCCCGCACCTGGGCACGCTCCCGCAGCGCGGTGCGGTGTCCTCCGCACCCGCGCAGCGCGACCCTGCAGGGACCGGAGCGTGTGTGTGTGTGTATGTGGAGGAGGGGGGGGACACCCGCAAACTTGTCCCGCGTGTGTCCTTCCCTCCCGCCCCCCCCCCCCCCCCCACCCTCCCGCCCGCGGATCGGGCCCCCTGCGGGACTCGGCGCAACTTTTGCGGCGGGACGGGGCCGGAGGGGGGGATGCGGGGGGGGTGTCACTCCGCGGTGTGCCGAATTGCGCGGCAGCGGAGTACCGCTGCACCCCTTTCCCCCCCCCCCCCCCCCCCGATCTTTTTCCCCGCGTTCTGCTGCAGGACGCTAAATTACACACCTTCAATTAGCAGGATATAATGGTTTAACGAGGAAATGCTTTGTGGTGGACTCAAACCCCAGATTATTTCCTCCTGCAGGAGATTTTGACTACATTATTCTTATTAATTTAATTTGAATATTTTCTTTCTCCCGGTGAGAAAGCCTCTCCGGGCTCTTCCCGGCAAGAAAAATACAGCGAGAAGGGGAGGCAGCTCCCCGAGAGATGCAAAAGTTTCATCCCCTTCTTCCACCGCCGTCCCCCCCTCCTCATTCCCTTAAATTTCTGCAGGAGAAGCCAGAGCGAAGGCACGAAACTCCACCGGGCTTAAAAACCCTCCGTACACTTGATGAAAGGCAGGAGGAAAACGGGAGTGGAGGGAGTTTTGGAGAGGCCGGGATGCGAGCGTGCGTTCCGCCTGGCCCAAAGTTTGCTCCTGGAATTCCAGCTCGGGGATAATACCTGTTTTTTATCAGTCGTGCTGGTGCGGGAGGGCAAGGACCAGGCTGCTTGCAGGGCCGGCCGGCCGCGCTCCGCATCACTCCGCAGCTGCACGGCTGCTGCTGGGGTGCACTAGGCCCAGTTACACATTGAGGACAGCAAAATAAAGCCATGGCTTGGGCGCTCCCCAGCGCATGCATCCCCCTTTTATTTTAATTAAAATAAGAAAAAATAGGGGAAAAAAAATAAGGGGTGAAAAAAAAAAGCTCCGTGCTTGCACTCAAACCTCGCATTCTTGTTGCACATTTGGAAAAGTAAGATGAGGATTAGAGGCCTCCTGACAAACTCTCCTCTCCAAAGGATCAATTAGGTGCTTCTGTCATTTTTTAGTGGAAAAAAGGGACAAGCCTTGAGCAATCACAGCAATTTCCTATTTTTTATTTTTTTTTCCATTTCAGGAGCTTTTATTGATGCGAGTTTTGGGATGGAGATTTCTTTTTTTTTTCCTTCTCCTTTTTTTTTTTTTTTTTTTTTTTGCGTGTGTGTGTGTTAAGTTTTGCCTCATATTTAAAGGGAAGCTTTCGCAAGTGGGTTAGAAAAGGAAAACAGCCCGAAACGCGAGTTGTGAGCGGTATTCATCCACGCACTGGCACTGCAAAGGCACGAGCATTTTGTATCATCTGTCAGGAAAAATCTAAACATCGTTCCATTTACATATCTGCTGAAGATCTAGGAAATAGTTGAGGGACACATGCACAGCTCCAAATAGATTTACAAGCAAATGGATTGTAAAAAATATATTAACAAGGGGCACTGTAGCTGGCTTCATTTCAAAAGGATCAGCAGAAATATATTGTTTCCAAAGGCTCCTTTGCAGTGTTACATTCTTGCGAGCGCTTTTGGGTCTCTTTCATCGTAGTTGTTTAATTCTCTTTCTTATGTATTTGTTATCCTTTTTTCATACCTTTACTGGAGAGCGGAAGGGAATTTGGGGGAGAAGCACCACACAATGGTGCGGCCCAAGTTGGAGGTGCTGCTTGGAAACAGGCTGCTCTCGGAAAAGAGCTGGAGCCACAAACTTTGGAGAGTAGTGCAATGGAGTAAATCATCCTCCTCATCCTCATCATGAAAAGGAAACTTTTTATTCTCGCTTTCCCAGCTTTCTGGTGCCTTTTCTTTTTAGGTGGCCCATCAAACACCGAAGGGGGGAAGCAAATGTCTTTATCAAACACTTTGGAAGTTTCCCTTAAAGCTAACTTGGGGAGAGGCAAAGATCAGCTCCTTTTCCATCAGTTATTTAAAATCTTGCTGTTTTACAGCGAGCCTGCAGACCAGTCCTTAGCACACTTGCACTGGCACATTCTCCAAAGTTTTTTTTCGGGAAGGGGCCCTATAATAACACTGAAATAAGTAATTGTATTGTGCAGAAAGTGCTTCCCTCCCCCCCCGTTCCCCCCCCCCCCCCCATCCCAATTTTGTTTGATCAGCCCTGAGTGCTGTTTCTTTCCACTTTGCCTTTGGTTATACCTCGCCGCCGAGGTGGAAGCGGTGGGATTTGGAGCTTACCAGGACACTTGGAAAGTTGGTCTGGTTCTGAGCCATGAACCTTTCCTCCTCGTACACCATTTTGAGCAGACACATTGGAGGCTAACACTGTGCACACCTCGCGCGCCGAGCAGCGGTGCCTCTCATTTACTTCAGCCATAGGCTTCACACCACAAAAAGAAAAAAGCACCTTTTTATTCCCCCCCCTTCTCCCTCCCCCTGAAGTCTTTTAAAGTGGGTTTTAAATCAGTTCTTTCCGGGCGGGGGGGAAGGGGGGTGTTGTTTCTACCTCCCCTTTCAGGTTCGCATCGTTGCAATCAGCTTTAGCGCAGGTTAAAGCAACTCTCTCTTGGATAGCATCCAGCGTCGAGCCAAAAAAGTCCCGAGCACATGAGAGCAGGCAGGACAAAAGCGCTGCTTAAAGCAGGAAAGTTGAAATATTTCAGGATGTACCAAGAACGTGTTTGGAAACGAGGGACGCTCGAAGCGCTCCCCTGGCTCGCTGTGGGTCTGTCGAGCCTCTGCTCTGTGTGTACCTTCGCAGATAAACTTCCACTTGACAAAAGGCCCTTTTTTATCCCTGGCTTTCCCTGAGTAGCGAAGGGGGAAGCTCAGGAGGGATCAGAAGGGAGGGTTTATTATTTTTAATAGCTTGTAGGGACCTGTAGTTTTTATAGATTTGATTATTTTTTCCTCTCCCCCCCCTTCCCTTTCCCTGTGAGAGCTCTTTCTGGTGGGTGCGAGCAGCTCCATGTGCTGGGATTGTGCCTCCTCTCACTTTTTGAATCTGCCGACTGCAAACTCGCAGCAATCTTTTTTCTCCCCTTCTCCTTTTTTTTTCCCTCTCCCTCCCCCCCCCAACTTTATTGAAATTTGAAACTTATCTTTTCCACTCGAGGAGGGAGGGAAAAAAAAAAATCAGGAATGTGTCAATCATCGGACTGATTTATTTTGTTTTACCTGCTTCTATTTTAATAAGCGTTCACAGTCCTCGCGGTCACTGCCGCTCTGCTGTGCCACAGGGAAATACGTTGTGCCATTTTTGGTGGGGTTTTAGCAATCTCTGTTGAAAATAACAGATGTAAACGCTGTGGTATCACCCATAGATATAAGTCTTTACAATTCAGGGGGCACTCAGAATAAGTGCAAGGGGAGCTTTGGGGGAGTCAGCAGCTCTGGAATTACGACAGGATTTTGCTGATGGGCATTTCTGCTATTGATTTCTCAATTTTTCATCGTTTTTGCAAACGAAATGCATGGTAAAATAAGGTGTTGGAAGCAAGGAAGATGTCTGCTTTAATAGCAATATTTGCACGACCTGAAACGATTTGGGTCGGAAATGCACTCCATGGGATAATTACAATAAGAAAAGTTAGTTACTGTGAAAAATCCCCAGTGGTGCCTCGCAAGGGTGGGCAGCGGGAGGCTCTGACCCGGCTGGGGGAAACGCTACACAAATGACTCTATTTTTCCCCTCCTAGAGGGCCCAATCCTGAGAAAAGGAGGAACTCAGCCCCTGGAAGCAGGGATGTCCCCGGCACGCGGTACTGGATCAGGCCCCACAGGCTATATATGTTTTTATGTGCAGCCTGGAGTTCAGTCATTCATTTATTCAGAATAAAACAAGAAGTGTGGCCCCAGCGTATTATGTGTTTCGATCTCTTGGGCTGATTTATGCAGTACTTTTTGAGGATATGTGCTCTTATTTTATTAAACAAAATTGGGGTGCGTGTGCGGCTCTCTTGCCATTTCTTTATCGTCGGCACACTTTTAATCGCGATTATTTATGTGCCAAGGAAGAGAGGTGATCTTTAACTCATCGTTACACAAAGCAAGCAGTGTCTCCGGATGGCCAAACTAACTTTCCAAGTAGGGCGTTTAGTTTTATGTCCATAAAAATGTGCCACAAAGCATAAAGGGAAAAAAATAATACTCCTTTGTGTGTCTGGTTAAGTCGCGCTCAGGTTTTCTGTTCCCATATTTTACTTTTTTCCCTGTTTATTTTTATTTTATGGAAAGCCTCAGAGTTTGATTTGTCCAAATAAATCTGAATTTCAGGGTTTAATTTTTTTCCTTTTGAATAAATATCAATAAAAATAAAAGTTAATTCTTGAGACTTGCATTCTCCAGGATTTTAGTATTAGTTATTGCCATGTGTGCTGGATAAATTGGCCACGTTGCTTTCTACTCCCTTCAGCGCTTAGGAACTGGAGCGAAAACCACCCTTCATTGTATTCGTATATGCTGCTATATTGGTGTTTTACTATACTGCCTGCTGCTATTTCCAAATATATCTTAGGGAAAGTTTCACTATACTTTAGACTTCCCCATACAAACATTGATTGGCATCCAAATGTTTAGGATTTGCCAAATTGGCGGGCATACGCTGGCTACACCGCAAGCAGCGGGGTCAGGGAGAGAGCAAAGGGAGATACGCGATCCGCAAGTGGACTTGCAGCGGGGTTTTTAGCTTTTAACTCATTCTACCTTGTGTTTTTAAGGAGATTTGGGAGCTGGGGAAAGGGCCCCATCGTTGCGCCCTCGGTTGAAGTCAGACCCTATTTTCGGGGAGGCGCGAGAAGAGGTTTTGGGTTGATGCGGCGGTGACGGGTCAGGGTCTGTCAGGAAGGGATACAAACCCTACAGCCCATAAAACATCCAAACAGCCTCCTAATTCCCACTATCCCAGGAAAGCCCTGTTTCTGGCAGCTTTTTGTTGATGGTTTCGATGACATCGCCCCTTCTCTGTAACTTTTTGCAGGATGAATTTCATCCCTTCATCGAAGCACTTCTGCCTCACGTCCGAGCGTTTGCATACACGTGGTTCAACCTGCAAGCCCGAAAAAGAAAATACTTCAAAAAACATGAAAAACGCATGTCAAAAGAGGAAGAGAGAGCCGTGAAGGACGAACTGCTAAGTGAAAAACCCGAGGTAAAGCAAAAATGGGCATCCAGACTTCTGGCAAAGCTCCGGAAAGATATCAGGCCTGAATTTCGGGAGGATTTTGTTCTCACAGTCACAGGAAAAAAGCCTCCGTGTTGCGTTCTTTCCAATCCAGACCAGAAGGGCAAGATGAGAAGAATTGACTGCCTTCGCCAGGCAGATAAGGTCTGGAGGTTGGACCTTGTTATGGTGATTTTATTTAAAGGTATTCCGCTCGAAAGTACTGATGGCGAGCGCCTTGTAAAGTCCCCACAGTGCTCTAACCCCGGGCTGTGCGTACAGCCCCACCATATAGGAGTTTCTGTTAAGGAACTCGATTTATATTTGGCATACTTTGTGCACGCAGCAGGTAAGTGCTTTTCTATACCACCTTCTCCAACTTTTCTGTTTATCTCCGTGCCGGGTGCTGTATCCTCGGCGGCAGCTGCATGAGGTGGGGAGGGAGCAGGGAATGCCGGTTATCGCCCTCCCGGGGCAGTGAGGAGAGTGCCAAGGATGCCAAAACTCTCCCTTCTCACCCCTTTGATTTTTCTGGTGGGTTTTTAAGGTGCAGCCATGTAAAACTGGCTCTCGATTTCCCCGGAATAATGGCATTTCGGGCATCTTTCACAGGTGTTATCCTAAATGTTGTCCTGGAGGGACTGCAGCCGGACGCGGCTTCCTTCATTATCCTGGTTTGGGGGGAAAGCAGATTTTAATTGATTTTTTAAAAATAAAAGTTTATCCATGCTATGCACAAAGTAGTCTGAGAGGGCTACAAGTGCCCGAGGCCTGTAGGTCAGGAGTACCAAATATCCTCACCCCATGGCGATGGGGAGTGTAAATCCCGCAGCATTGGGGTCGGAGGGAAAGGCGAAGACGATCCCTCAATAGCAAACCTAGTCATCAGGTCTGAGCGGCCACAAAACCGTCCCAGTGGTAACCCTGTGGGGAAAAGGAGACATACAACCTCCCTAAAACATCACATTTTATACACTTAGAAGCTGGGCAGGTCTTGAAACAAATTCCTGGTTTGATAATATAGTGCTGATGGAGGGGGGGGAACTGAGATGGTTTTGCATGTGGTGAAAATCTTGGGATCTCCGACTCAGCGCAAGGTACGCCCTGGTACTCGGTATGCTCAGAGGATGTGTAGTACGTTGGCTGGTTAAAATAATATGCTATTGTAGTTCTCCTGAGTGATTCTATTGCAGAAAAATGTGTGTGTGTGAAGTGCTAGGCCCCGGTTTTCATGTACGGTATGCATAGGTCCTCATGGGTTTCAGCCTTACTTGCAAGTTGTGGGGCTGGAACAAAAGAAGAGCAGGGGGAAGAGGAGTCGTAAGAGTAGAAACCGCTTCTAAACAAATATGTATCAGTAGGAAAACTGAGCAAATTACAGCGCTGGGAGCCTGCATCTCCAATGCCAACTTCTTCCAGAGGGTCTCGCGGAAAGTTTTGGCTACCCCAAAGTTTTTCTGTGCGGAGTTCTTGTTGCAACAAGCACTGTTGCGGCTCTGATTTTGCAGGTGTGATTGGCAATAACTCCCAAGTATCCTCACGGTATTTCCTACAAATAGGCTGCAACATTTACTTTGCACTTTGGTGAATCGTATGGCGCGTTTATGGTGAAGGGGAGGCAGGTAAATATTGTGGGATATTATTTATTTGCTCTGCAGTTTATTACGGAGCACGATGAAGGGTGGATTACCAATTAATGGCTAACCAAAGGGAGTTGGGGCTGGAGCATTGTGGGTCCCTTCCCGTTCCATCACCAGCCTTGAGGAGACTGGCGACTCGCATCCCTTTTGTCTGCCTCGGTTTCCTCCTCTGCACATTGGAGCGGGGTGATGCGTTTAAAGCACTTTGATACCTACTGCTGAAAACACTATTTACTGCTGTATGGCATGTGGGTTTTTATTACTTAGATATATATTTAGCGTGGTACCAGTAAATACTGGTCCGCATTGTGTTTCCCAAGTGCAAAGCAGCCTTTTACATGGTACAAAAGTTGTTCATATAAACCAGCGGTCTTGGTTTAGCTTGTGTGTAGGGTCACAAAAATGAAGGATGGGGAGAAAAGGACCATATTCATAGGTACTCTGAGGAGCTTGAAGGGATCCTCTCCCTGTTATAACAGCGGGGCAATAGATGTTATAAAAGTTCAGCGTTGTGATAAGGGATATACCATCTTATCAGCACGTTCTTGGCAAACAGAACCCTTGATAGCGAACTCCTTTATTTCTGCCTTCATCGTCAACAGGCAGCAATTGCACGGATCGCTCTTCAGACTAGATGTTAGCACAAGGCTTAGGCTCGGGTTTTGGGGGGTAGATGTGCGGTTTTGTGTGAGCAGCGACCGCGCCGCGTCGCGTTTTCGGCCGTTGTTTGCTGATGGCACGCATCGCATTGTGCTCTTAATGCGGTAGCGTGTGCTGGCGTATTCCCTGCTAAACCTCACCGGGGAGGGGGACAAAATGATTTTTAGGAGGTAGCGCAGCATGGTCACTGTCTCTATCACTTCACAGAGGTGTATCTAAAGCCTCCCATATAGGCTACCTCCTTTTTTCCCCCCTTTTTTCCCCCTTTTTTTTCCCCCCTCCGATGTTTCCCAGCAGTCTTTGTTACACCTGAACATTGGCCAAGTTGACAGCCATTGGTTCCCGCAGACCCGCAGTAATGGCAGCTTGTGCCGGGTGCGCAACAGGAAAATTACAAAAGAAAAGGGAAAAAATATTAAGGGATCCTTTGTCTCCATCGGGCCTCGCTCCCCAAACGTATGGACCGCTTCGGTATAAGGAGGAAGTCGCCAGCGCAAATATTAGGTAGGCTGGTCAACCTACATATAGCGGATTTGACAAGCATCTGCTATAGTACAGAAGATTTGTAAACACTAAACAATGTTTTTACCTCCTTAAAAGTTTTGAGAAGTTGCCAGTATTGGCAGGAGGCACAGACTCCGAAACGTGCTTGAAGATACGTGCCAAAACCATTGTGACCTTTTCACCCATAGTGCTCGCTTCTCTTTTTCTTGTGTTTTTATTCTTCCCTCCTCTACTCTTCTTCTTCTTCTTTTTATTTTTCGGGGGGAAGCATTCTCTTCCAAGATGCCCTTATTCGAGTTGACTTCGGCAGCAAGATGCCCCTTTCCTTCTAAACATGTACGATAATTACTGCTTTGAATCCATGCTTTTTCTTCAGTAGGCACTATCATCTGTAAGGGAACACATGTGCACAGATTTAAATAGTGCTTCTTACAAAGCTACTGAAATCAATTATTCTCTTTAAGAACTGGCTGGAAAGAGAAAACAAAATATGCAAATAGGCAAACTACATGTCATTTTTGTTAAAAAGTAAAAAGAGAAAAATAAGATGAAAGGAAAGGAAGATCGGTGTTTTGTGAATTAGAGGTTGACCAAAAAACGGATTGAAATCTAGAGTATTGCTCTCAGTTTGCAGTTTCTAATCTGCTTAACTAAAAGCAGGCGGCATTTTCATACCCTGAACTTAGGCTGGCTTTTTAGTTTTCACTTATTCTGCGCTTGTATCAAATGACAAGTTGGAAACCATTGTGGCAAACCGTTTTCTTTGTGGGAGTCAAACAGTAAAGCTAATTTATGACCAGTCCTTTACCAGATGATCTGTATCAGAATCTACAATATACTAGGCACGTGGCAAGGTCACAATTTAAGTTGTTAAGGTCACAACCTTAGCCACCAGGCATTTGACCTTTTAGATAAAGTTAACCTTTGTTCATTAGTAGGCACTCAACCGAGAACTTTCTGGAGTTTTTTACTGCTTTGGAGTTCCTTCTGCTAATGTGATCAGATGGGAGAATGGATTCGCAATGGAAGTAGTTAAATTTGGTGAGAGGTCAGAGTTTTTTGAGCCTTCTGCAGCGGATGAAGCTGGATGGCAGGCCAGGAGGCGATGCCGCAATGCCCGGATAGGTTTTTTTGGGCAGCCATCCTTAGCTTTGGGCAAGAATTAAGCTAGCGAGGTATTTGTGGCAGAGAAAATCTTTTAATCTTTCAGGAGGACATTTAAAAATCCCAAGTTTAAGAAAAATCCGCGGGTAGGGTTTTATTGACACGAGCTCATTTTGCTGTTGGTGTTTGGAGCAGAAGCCAGCGAAGATGCGACAAGTCAGCCTTATTTCTGTGCCTGTGAAAATTTACTTAGTGACTGAATGTGTTTTATGGCTAATTGCCTGGGCAATAGTATATAGCACATGACCTTGAACTTTAAGCAGACCCATTTTACGTTCTATCACTGGGTATAAAATATTTCCACTTGGACCACCGCAAGAGAGGTATCAGTGGGTATAACCCAAAGATTGGTTAATGCGGAAAGTGGCTGCAGATAGCCAAAATACCCATGGAGGTACTGGGGAGTCCAAAAGGTACACACAAGGCTTCGCGTTGTAATCTTTTAGTACAACTGGTATTGATTGTTGCTGCATTAATCCTGTTAATAACCGCAGCCGGCCCGCTGTGTTGCAGGGATGTGAGAGGTGTCCTGACAATACTGTACATCACCAAAAGAGCTGTCGCAGCGTCTTCAACTCCTGAGAGCTGCCGAGCAAAAGTGGAGTGCTCGACGGTGGAAACTATTGCTGGCTCCTATAGAAGCACACACACCATATTGTTTGCTTAATTACGCTGTAGCGAGGGCTTGGTTTTAATTATTTAGCTGACTTTCCCGCTTTGCTGTGATACCACATTTATTATTTAATTTAAAATCAAAAGGGCCCTGCCACTGTTAGGTTTTGATGCATTTTACTTTTGTTTTGGCTACGTTATTGTCATTCCATCGTACAGTAATCCAGATAGCCGTGATATGCAGATTGGCCAGATGGTCATGTTAACAGATTGAGAACCTACTTCCCACTGCTAAAGAGCAGGTGTAAGATCAGTGGGCTTTTCCCCCCCCTCCCCATCCTTTCCTCCCAAGTTTCAACCAAAATGCTCTTTAGACAGCTCATAATGGTAGTTAAAAAGGGGCACATTTCAAATGGTGTTTGTTCAGCGGAGATAATATGTAATATATATGTCGCTTTTACACATATCTAAAGACTTTTAAACCATCCGTGACATTCCCTCCACTCATAAAAAATCTACTCGCACCCCGTGGCTGTTCCAGCGTACATCCAAAATGCTCCTTAAAGTTTTGTTTGTGATGTTAAGAGTTCTTACACATTTCTACAGCCAGATTGCATTTATTCAGCCAGCTTTGCAGCAGGTATTTCATGCACTTTCCCTGTCCAGGGCTCCCTGTGCATGCCAAGGGGAACCTGGGAAGTTCAGTTTCAGCTGAGATTTTACTGTTTGGGGCTCGTAGGGGCTGAGGTTTTCTCCTACATTAATTTTT